GGGGGGGGGGGGGGGTGGGGGGGGGGGGGGGGGGGGGGGGGGGGGGGGGGGGGGGGGGGGGGGGGGGGGGGGGGGGGTGGTGGGGGGTGACGGGGGGGGGGGGGGGGGCAAGCAGGCGGGCGGGGGGGGGCAGTTGGGGGCGAGCAGGTCAGCAGGGGAGGGCAGTTAGGGGTGATCAGACTGGAAGGGGGGAAGTTGGGGGTGATCAGGCTGGCAGGCAGAGTGGTTAAGGGCAATCAGGCAGGCAGGCAGGTGAGCAGTTAAAAGCCAGCAGTTAGGATTGCAAGAGGGATGTCTGCCTGCCTGTTTAGGCCCGATCCCATATGGATCCCTATGGGATCGAGCCTAAACCGGCAGTCAGACATCCCCCAAGGGGTCCCAGATTGGAGAGGGTGCAGGCCGGCTGAGGGATACCCCCCCACACCCCGTGCACGAATTTTGTGCACTGGGCCACTAGTCTATAATAATAAAAGTGTAATATGCTAATTAGACCGGATGTCCTTCCGGATGACCTCCTGGATGAAGCAGGGGCTGCGAGGGAAGCCTGTGTCCTGGGTGCTGGCGGCCGGAGGGAGGCCGGTGCCGGCAGCCAGGGGTAGGAAGGACACGAATTTTGTGAATTGAGCCTCTAGTAAATAAATAAAAATATATCAAAAAGAGAGAGAGAGAGAGCCTGTCTCTGCTCAGATTCCTCCGGGCGCCTCCCTTGGTAACGGTTTGCAGCTTTCACAGTCACGTGGCCGGATTCTCACCTCACCCGTCATCCCATCCAGGAAGAGTGTGCGCACCAGGCCTTTCCCCATCTCTCTGTGCGAGAGCTGGGCAATGGCGCCCCCGTGTGGCAGGTCCGGGCACAGCACTTTCCCTGAAGGAAGAAGGTCATGAGGTGACCTGGGGCCCCAGGCGGGAGCCCCCAGCTTGCCAGGGGGTGTCTGCTCCCAAAGCGGATGGCGAGTGGGGCTTCTAGAACTTTCTGTGCCATCCCTGCTCGGGGGCGAACGCCGAGGCGAAGAGCCAGGCAAGTATCCGAAGCCGGTTAGGTCCCCGTCTGCGGCTCCCGGCACATCCCATCCAGGAGAACCCAATGGCTCCAGGTTTCCCACGGCAACGCCTCTGTAGCCCTGGATGGCCTATGGGACGCTTCTCCTC